AGATGCAGATGGACTGCTGAGTCTTGTCCTGTGGAGGTGGCTCTTCTGTGTTGTGCCATGCGCTTGTGAAGTGGCTGTTTGGTCTGGGCATTCCTCTACATGGACACCAACTATCTGTCATGTGTTTCTGTTTCTATTATCTGTGAAAGAGCTCTGACTCAGTCACAGTCGTAGTAATTGTATTTTTTTTATTTGTTAAATTTTCCAAATTTTCCAGCTGACACAGAACGAGGCTTTGGTCACATTACTGGACAACCGCACATGGACTAAAGACGGCATCGCTGAAGAGTTTGACTACATTGGAAACGCACGAGTCTGGATGCACCCACAAGTCACCGTCTTCGGCACACTGGCCCTTTTCACCATAATGAGAGTAAGGTGAAAATATGTGTACAAACCTGTAGGTTTGATTTATGCTAGTAAATGTGTCTGTCTGCAAGTTTTCATAATGTATAAAATGAATTTGTCATTCTATGTAAAGTATGTTAAATTCATGCACAATTCCTGACAGGATTTATTATACATACACGGGGTGCTATCCCCCCTTTTTAATCCAGAGGTCCACATTTACTTACATGTGAATGTGTTATTAATGTCTTTTTAAAAGCTTTCCCATGTTAATTTTATTTGCTGGAAAGAAAATATGTCCCTCTGCTGGTGCTGCAGCTTACTGCGAGTGCAACTAGTGCATGTATGTCCATTTCATGCTTTGGAGAGGCAAAGTGTGAAATGGAAACAGTGGACCACTCTATGTATTACACGCTTTGCTTTGATACCAGGTTGGTCTGAAAGCTGCGTGTGCAGCACACATGCATTTAAAGAACACTGACGGTAGGACATGATTTTCTATCATGGTGTAGCAGTGTCAGGTGCACACTGATATTGGCTCTGTCACACCGATCTTGCTAGTGAGCTGATGTCAATGTTAAACGTATAAGCTGCATTCTTGTCTTTGAATAAGAAACTTTGAATGATTATTTTATGGTTAATGGTTCCAAACATCTTAACATAAGAAGATGATCCAGCTAGGCTATCATTTTGACTCTAAAGGGGTCGGCAACCCTGGGCATGCGTGCCACAGCTGGCACGCAAAGGGTTAAATGATGGCACGGCACACAGTGAATTAATCTGAGAAGGTGCATTAAAAAATAATAATCTATGGACGGGCCACTGGTGCACATCACTAATTAGCTTACATTAGTTGTGCCACTTCCACATTCCAACACTTCAAACGTTCAAGAGCTGTCTGCTCAGCGCAGCATCAGCACCACGAATTCACAATGCAGGTGTTTGGACCAATGCTTTCTTTTCTGATTAAACCAGAAAGCTTTAATGGGCAGCTGGATTTGTCTCGTGCATTTTCACCTGCTGGACATCACTACCTGACAAGTGTAACTGTCTTCAGAGCATTGCACAGGCCTTATTGACAGTGTTTGGCTCCACATATCTGTGTGAGCAGACTTTCTATCACACAAATAATGTTCTCAGCACCTCCCGTAGCCGTCTGACTGCCGGACACTTGGAGACCTGTGTCTCTGAGTGGGAGCCCATAGACCACAATAACATGTATTAACAAACATGCCTTAGTATTTTTCCTTATCACTTTTGTGAGTAGACCATAAATAGCATTTGTATTTTCTGTCGTACAGTTCCTTTGCTGTTATAGAGTTCTTGTTTTGGATAAAAAGTGTTTTTTTTAATTTGCTTTTTGTTTAAAACAGCTGATCTGCACTTTGCCAACATCTGCGAACAAATATAGTTCTTTAAAATTATTCTATATAGCGTGGAACTGTTGAGCATGATTGCTAATGCAATGGTTGATATGGCACATTGACTTCTGGGGAAACATCAGAACGGTTGCCGACCCGTGATTTAGACCAAGGGTATTCAACTGAAATTTAAGGATGTCTGGTCAGAGAAAACTTCCTCAGTCAATTTACTATGCAAGCTACAATGCATGTGACCAATTTGTGCATCTCCTGTGTTAGGGCTGGGCGATATATCGAGTTTTTTAAAAATATCGATATATTTTCATGCGAGATATAAGATGTGACAATATCGTTTATATCGATATAGTCTATGTTACGTTATAATTATACTTGTGGAGCCGCAGGTTTGCCTCTTTCGTCCACTTTTGTCTCTACGCTGCGTTACTCGGCCTCGCCTCTCCTTCACTGAACACAACTCCCCCTCCCCCATAGCTTCACCTGCAGGCAATGACAAGATGAAAGCGGAAAATCTCCGTTAGCGAGTTACCGCGGATCGCCCCGTGCGTCGGGCTGGACGGCGTCAACGTGTTAGCGAGCTAACCGCGCTAACGAGCTAACCGCGCTAACGACATGCAGCCCGGAGGAGCTGCACGGCCTAAAATCCTTTCATTTTCTCAAAAATCGACAGTGCGCCTTATGTATGAATTCTGGTTGTGCTTACTGACCGCGAACCGATTTTATGTGGTACACAGCGCTCAGCAATCTGTCAAAAAATGTTTTAATATGACTTTGCTAAGCTACGGAGCTGCACCGCTTGATGGATTGTCGGATGATTACGGCTACCGGGGAGGAGCCTCGCGGAGTGATACGTACTGTGCTTCAACGTAATATTACCGTACTGTGTGTGTATAAGGACCACAAATGGCACCTGTTCAGAGACGTGGTGCAGCTGTGAAATCTGTCTCTTTGTTATTATGCTCAGCGTCTATTAGTTTACATTTTGACTGCACAATTGTGAGCTTTTTGTTATGCACAAAAACAACATTGTTTTCTTTTATTTATGGACCATGATTATTTAATAAATACTGATAATTTATTTTTGAGTAATTTCTTCATGTACATCTACGCTGTATGTAAATAAAAGTGCCCGTGTGACATCTGGGACACAGTGTGACTAAGAACTCTCTTTTTGTTCTTACTTTATGGCTTTAAAAAAAAATCGAGATATATATCTTATATCGCCATCCAGGTAAAAAATATCGAGATATGAATTTTGGGTCATATCGCCCAGCCCTATCCTGTGTGCACACACTGGCTACAATAAGCCTATAGAAAAGAGCTAAAAGAGCTGTGCAAATTAAAATAACCCTACAGTAAATCTAAAAAACTTTGAGCAGAGTAAAACAGAAATCGCGCATTGAAACCAAACAGGTCAAGGTCTGTATAAAGTAGCATCTGGGTTTAGACTGCGGTCTGCCTTGTGGTGAGCTGGAATCTAGAAATACACCAGATAATACCATGCAGCTCCTGGAATGTCACCCTATTCTTTCTGTTGATGTCTTCTTCTTCTTTTAGTTCTGGATGTGTGCCTTGGCCATCACCATGCCAGTGCCCTATGGAGCCTTCATGCCAGTACTTGTCATTGGTAAGATGTGTGTTTTTCTGTGAAGAAGAACAGATGAAACACATTTGAAGGCGTTAACACAAGGCTCAGGGGTGAACAGTCATTTGCCATGACTGTGAGGAGAGAGAAACAGGATAAAGGCACAGTTGAAGACAGCCAGAGATTAATAAATAAAAATTGTAGTTGTATATATACACACAGAATGAAAAGAAATGGGAAAAAGGAAAGACTCCCCCAGCAGGCTAGACCTAAGGCAGCATAACTAAGGAAGGATTCAGGGTCACCAGCCCTAATGATATGCTTTGGCAAAAAGGAAAGTTTGAAGCCTAATCTTGAAAGTAGAGATGACTAACTGAATGCTTATCAGGGAGTTTTTAGGACATCCAGATAATAACGACTGACAGCATTCCAGCCTAGAAGTGACACATCCATGAATTTGTTTTTCAACATCACTCAGACAAAATATTTGTGTAGCATGTTTAAAAAGTGCATAAAGGCAGACCTATATTTTGTTTAACATGTGCATTGAGTCAGATTCCTCACTGTGTTACTGGAAGTTCAAGTAATGTCATGCATGCCTAGCTGTGGGTAATCACCAGTGGACAAAAGAAATATTCTTGAAGGGTTTAGCTAGTGGTTGTGTGAAGTTGCTTGCTTGCTGTCATTATGCAAAAATGGTAACAGAGAGGTTTTTACGCCAATACTACAGAAAACATTGTGAATGATTTGGTTACTAGCAGATTGCTGGGGTTGACAGTAGTTTGCAGTAATGATAGTCAAGAAGAAATTGACTTGCCTACAAACATTTGCCAACTACCCATTGAGGAGCACTGAAACTGTAGAGTGGTAAGAAACCTCAAAACAGAGCCCTTCAATACTCCTTCAACAGGCATCTCCGAGAACGTTAGAGCACTTGTGCAAATATGTGATGTCTTGATAAATCGAGCAGATATTTGAAGTTTACACAGCTCCATTCTTAAAAGTTTATTTTGTGACCCAGACAGAGTAATCTTTCAAACTCTGCCACTCTGTGTTCCTCCGCCACTGCCTCGTTTGAGTTTTGGGCGAAATGGATTCTGGGATATTGCATTTCATCATTTCAAGCTGATGGGCAAGCTATAGGCAACCGTGTCTTGGCTGGCCTCACCCTGGGGACCAGCATGGGTACTGGAGCAGACTGAATGGCAATCCCACCCGAGTAGGTGCGGGTGCAGGAGTAGGCTGCCCTCACATTGGAAGACAGGACAAGCACTGGCAACAGCTGGGTGTCAGCTGTCCCCGCCTGAATAACAGAAATGGGTGCAAGAATGTTTTTGAGCTGAGATTATTTCAATGATTTTGGTGTTTGTGAAGCTGACAGCAAAGTAAGTGAAATTATTGTCTCAGAATTGGACAATGTTCAAGGTGACGTTTAGGCCTTTGAGTCAGCAGCTTGTTCACCAGCCTGGTGACACTTAACTCACTGTTTCCAGTCCTGTAGAGACTGAGTTCTTGGTTCCCCAGTCAGCCTTTTTCAAGACTAAAATCTGTGAACTCCTTCATTTTCCAGAGTTCTCCAGTGGACCACATTGGAGTCTTTGCAAGGTTCATTTTGGCCCCTGAACCAAAGTTTGACAACCCTATTTTAGATTACTGTAGTGACTGATTCAATAATGATTTCAAAACTCAATACTTTTTTTGTTTTAGATAAGTTTTATATTTTGACTTAGCAATTTATTTTTGTCAGGCTGATGGTGCTCAAGCCACAGCGATTTCAGTTTTCTGTGCACATGTTTGAAAATTCTTGCAAGTCTAAGAACTGCTGATTTTGATAAACAGCCACATACTGATTGTGAATCTCTATCTCCTTCCACATTTCAGGGGCCGGCTTGGGGCGTCTGGTTGGAGAATGCATGGCATACTGGTTCCCGGAAGGCATTCATGCAGGTCATGCTATCTATCCCATAGTGCCAGGAGGCTACGCTGTGGTGGGTAAGTTAGCAACTCTCTCCTGACTACATTCTACTTAAAATGACAAATACTTTCTTTGGTACAAAGTAAATAAAATAACATTCTTAACATTTTGGAGACCCTTGTAGCTCACAAAGAACCCTATGCACACACCCTATGTTTCAGACACTTTTGCTTTCCAGTGGAGACACTGTAGTGGCGCATGATCTGAACAGAGGATAAAAGAGTCGCCCAGGAGGTAGTAATGAAGAAGGTCAACCAACCACTGTATTGCCAGATACTGCTCGTCCACAGAGCTGTATCTACCTTCCCGCTCAGATAGCTTCTGGCTTATATAAATGACCAGACAGTCAAACCCCCTCACCTGCTGGGACAAAGCTGAGGGAGGCCTTGGAAGGCCTTAAACAGGCAGGGGTCTCAAACTCAAATGAGCCGCGGGCCACTTCTGGCACCGTCATCTCATTGGAGGGCCACTTAAGTGTCCAAGTAGTACAAAAAAACAAAAACACCCACTAATATTTCCTAAAATGTAGTGTGTTGTTTGTTTTATTTAATTCCAAATATTGTGTAACAAGACAAAATTGCAAACATGAAAACAATTTTTTTCTCACTCTATCTGAATCCTTTCAGTTTCATTTGTCATATGCAAGTTAGCACAGGGTCAGCATTGCAATGAAATGTATTTGACGAGTAGAAGACAGCCACCCAGCAGTATAGCACAGTATAGTACAGTAGTTTCAAATAAACAGTTCTTTCTGGCCAGACACGTGGCAGCACTTTTGCTATTTTGTTTGTATTTAACAAAATAAAAATGCAGGCATAAGCGTACACATTCGTTTTCGACTACAAGTGAAAATTTTCCTTCCAAATAAATCTCTCACTGAACTAACACAGCCCTCAACATGTTTGCACTCTCTTGTTACCTCGGCCAGGCCAGTAACTAGCTTTACTTTGCTAGCGAGAGAAAGAAGCGTTGAAAGGCTGCTCCAGCAGAACTTTATTGTTTCGGAGGAAAACACGAACACAGTGTACAGTCGAGTCTTAATAGCTTACTGGGCTCGTCAGGCTCTCTTTTTGGCTGCAGTGGTTATTTTTATATTTACATGCTTCCATCTCCCAAGCACCACCTCACCTCCTCTCTGGTCGTGCAACATGGGCAGGATACGATGGCTGTCGTTTTCTCTATCTGAAGGTTGCCTGCAGATAGATACTGTACCTCTGTCCAACTGTACACTTCTTTGGGTTGGCTAAGAGCCCCACCTGCCTCAGGCACTCCAGGACCATGGACTTCCATTGCATATGCTCCGCCGAAAACTGATCTGGTCTGTAGCTGTCCAAATGGAAATATTGGCTTCAGGCCCACTCCAACGATCGAGCGGGGAGCTAGGGCTGGGCGATGTGACCCAAAATTCATATCTCGATATTTTTTAGCTGGATGGCGATATAAGATATATATCTCGATATTTTTTTTAAAGCCATAAGTTAAGAACAAAAAGAGAGTTCTTAGTCACACTGTGTCCCAGATGTCACACGGGCACTTTTATTTACATATAGCGTAGATGTACATGAAGAAATTACTCAAAAATAAATTATCAG